AATTGGTTTTATGTATAGAATTTTAGAACAGAGAATATATAAAATTTTGAAACACTCATTTGAGAACTCTGACACTGTAAGTGAATAAAAGTGTGCTATTTAACGGCTTCATTGAATGGGCAGGTCTTTCATTTGAAAAATGCGGATGGCCTCTGTAAACCATAATTGCATATATGTAGCATAAATATTGTTCTTTATTGGATTTGTTGCAGAAGTAAGGGCCTCTTTTGTTTAAATGGACTTGCTTTTGAACTGTGAAAATGTAATCGTGATAGTTTATTGGTTCAGCTCTGAAGGAGCTGAGGCATAGCTATTTTGCTCCAGCCAGAGCTATTTATATACCATCACTGAGAGTTCCTTTTTATGTTACTGGTGTTACTGTGCACTAAAAAAGGAATGTTAAAAGAAAACTTTGGATTAAAAAAAACCCTCAGTGCCCTTATTCCCCAGCATGGTATTTTTAGAGGTTATTTCATCTGGCTCTATCTCTCCAGCAAAGGCTTTATCTTTCTCACAGTGGAGCCAGACAGGAACTCAGCGTGAAGCCGTTCCTTCTCTAACCTTCCTTTCTGAAGGGTGAAAGGATCAGAGGGAGTGGAACTCTGTGTGTGAATTGAGCCTCTTGGCCCTTTGCCCCTGCCTGATCAACACATTCACTCCATTGAGGGGAGAAAAGACCATGTATTCATTGGAAGATCCCTTTAAGAAAAAGGGTTAAAATGTAGGGAGCTGTTTGAGGTTCTCTATGCATAAAAATGATCAGTCTTAGAAGCTTATCTTTACCTCAGTTTTGCTGCCCAAGAAGACCAGTCTTGTGGTTAGCTTTCTTGTTGGAGGAGTAATCATCTCTTGTTGCAAATATCCGTGGAATTGGTGAAGTGTAGGAGAGGAGTGACAGCAGAACACCTGCTCCATGGGTAGAATTTGTGAGCCGAAGTTTGGAGAATAAACTAAGTTCTGAAAGAATATCAAATGCAACTTCACAGCTCTATAACAGAGAAGGTGGAGCACAGTCTTAGATTTGTTTTTGTTTTTGAGATTTATTTTTATTAGAAAGACAGGTCAGATTTTACAGAGAGAAGGAGAGACAACGATCTTCTATCCACTGGTTCACTCTCCAGGTGGCCGCAGCAGCTGACGCTGAAGAACCTAGTAGACGTTTTCTGCCTTTTGTGATTCTGCCTTAATGGTTTGGCTGGGGTCTGTGTGAACTCCAGGCCTGATAGTCTACGTGACACCCGGCAGGACACCTGGCAGGTCACGTAGGCAGACCACTCCTCAGGGAGGAGGTACCTGGTGTTTGATAAAATTCACAGCCCAATAGCTCATCGATTTGTACTTTTTGAAAGTTGTTTCAAACTCACCAATAGAAGCCTGCTAAATCATGACTGTATAATTAATAGCCTGAAATGTATAAGAACTGGGGGACTTGGGCTCTCTGGTTCTCTCTCTTCTGGCTTGTGCTTCTTTTTGTCCTCCCTGCGGATCCTAGCAGCCTCGGCTGCGGCTGCCCCTCCCGCGCCCAGCCATGCTGGCTGGGGGAGGTGGCTGGGAGACCTAGGCTTACCTGAATAAACCACCTTTATGCCTTAGTACCGACTTCAGACTTGATGATTATTTGGGGATTTCAAAATCCGGCACAACACCAGGAGCTTCCTCTAGTCTGCTGCATGGGTGCAAGGGCCCAGGGCTTTCAGCCATCCTCTGCTGCTTTCTCCCAGGCCATAAATAGGGAGCTGGATGGGAAGTGGAACAACCTAGGCACGAACTGGCACCTAACTGGGATTGCAGTGCTTGCAGTATGAAGGATTTAACCATTAAGCCATCACACTGAGACCACCGTCTTAGATTTGTAGGCCTGAAAAGGAGAGATTGAGTCTCCGTGACAGTTACTAGACTCCAGTCATGAATGCAGGTCCCTGCAGCTGAAGGCAGTGTTTTTGTCTCATTGTGTGGGGCTGTTCTGTGGAGAAATAGGCTAGTTGTTGGATTTCATGACGGCAAATCAACTTGCCAGAGGCAAGACAAAAGAAAATGCTCAGTGAACTTCAACTTCCTTTTCGTTAACATCCTGAACTATAGTGTGGAAGTTTGTATTTTTATTTTAGAAATATAGCTGACATTAGCATTCAGGGTATACAGTTCAGTTTATCTCTAGTGAAAAGCCCTTTAAAATTAAGTTAAATACAGCACAGGGACATAGAAAATCAATAATATTTCATTTCTTTTAAGTAAGATCTTTCTATATACATTTGCTTGGCTTACTTATAAATTTGTTTCTTTACAGAAGTATTTTGTAATAAATGTCAGTTATAGATTTAACTGTAGCAAAAAAGAGTGCAGGTGCTGTAGTGCCTTTAATATATCAGGGAAAAACTGCTTAGCCAAGTATTAGTGTAGGATATCGGTATAATCGGAAAGATATTTTTAAAATACATTGATGTTACCAAAAGAGCATTTAGGACTTTATTACATGGACTCTTTGAGAATTTAGTATATTATATCTTACCATACTTAAAAGCTTTGCTTATTGGTTTACCTCTCAGGACCATTTACTCAAAGAAGGGATACTGTAAATATTTGCTGTTACATGTGACCTTGATTCTAAAATATTTTTCTTTAATTACTCCCATACTATGATATATGATGCTTAGTTATGGTCTAAAGATTTCTAATGTTAACTGAAGTTAAAACTGAATTCTAGTGGCATTAGCAAATGATTGATAGAACTGGTTAAAACTGATTTATTAAAGTATTAGAAATTGAACATTGGGAAAATTAATTTTTTTAATAACCATGTATGCATCAGTAAGTTCAAAGCACCCTCTAGGGAAGTTACTAAGGAAACATCCCCTCCTCCATCTCCCTTTTTTTTTCTTCAAAAATGACTCACTCAGTTTAGTACAAGTTAAGTAGTGATAAGATTCCTTGTATTTTACAAATGTGTCCTCATTGGCATTTAATATGGTGGCCACATTGGACAGAATCATACTTTAAATAGTTCTTCATCAATGAAATACATACATTGAAAAACACTTTGCTTCATTAATAGATGATTAAGGGTAAAAGAAGGCCAAGGGAGTAAGTTTTGTGGTGGTGCTTGTCTGGGCACAAATGAAGTGATATGTATAAGAGTTCCAGTTTGCCTGAACTGTCACATTTATTCCTGCTCTCCAAGGTTGGTGAATTTGAGAAGGAAAACTTAGACATGCAAAAGCTGGTTAAGGCTTCGATGAGTAATATAGATGAAGAAAAATCAGCTTTTACCATGTGAATGAAAATAAATGATTGCTTGTTAAAAAATATGGAGTTGAAATTACTAAACTAGTTATTTAGCTGTTATACCCTGCCAGCTTTGGTGTGGTACTAAAGAATGAGTTTATTGCCTCCGTTTGATTATCTTTTTGTTGCAAGTTCTAAAGTTGTATTGGAATGTTAGTTTAAGAAGCCTGTGAGGGGCTGGCATGTTGGTTCAATCAGCTAATCCTCCACCTCCAAGCACTTGCATCCTATATGGGCACGGGTTTGTGTTCCAACTGCTCCACTTCCAATCCACCTCCCTACTTATTCCCGCCCCCCCCCCCCCCCGCACGATTACTGTGAATTAGAACATTTTTGCCTCTTTAAGTGTTTTTTAACAGAACACTTTCAGTGCTTATAATAACAGAAGAGAAAGGTTTATCTCGTGTAACTGTAATGTTTACTGATAGCTTCATTAAGTATGACATTTTTGATTGTTAACTTTTTGAGTATAAAAAGTCAGTTTATTTTAGTGATAATTATTGGTTTAAAATTCTGTTGCATGGAATACAAAATATATGTTTTATTGACAAGAGTAAAAAATGTTTATAGATCCATTAGTAATTTAGAAACCTGGGGAGAATTTTCTTGTAACGTTTATCCAACAAAAGATGGAATTTGGGACAGCCATTACATGTACTGACTCAAGAAGGTGTCTAGAAGCCCTGTACCCCATGAAAGGAGTTCTCAGTTCCATTTTCCTTCTAATACAGACCCTGGGAGGCAACAGATGGCGACACAAGAGCCACCCATGTGGATAACTAGTTGAATTAGTTGAATTAGGGGTTCCTAACTCTACCTGATTCCTGTTCCAGCTCTTGTAGTCATTTGAGGAGTAATCCAGCAGATGGGTGACCTCTCCCTCTCTCATTCTGTCCCTGTGTTTCTGCTTTTTAAATTAAAAAAAAAAAGGCAAAACAAAAACACAAGAGAAATTGGTCAGTTTTGGACCTGAAGAAACTGCTGTGGGACCCCGTGTGGAGTCAGAATATCCATCTTTTCCTTAGGTGTATACTTCTTGAGTGTCATGTGTACTGATGTCTGCTACATTTTTTGGGTGTTACAGCAGTAAAGAAGGCAGAATTCCTGCCTCCAAGAAAACTTTGCATCTTAGTAGATAGCTGTAAAGCAGTGTTACATTGAAGGAGGTAAGTGAGATGAATTCAGACTGTAGTTAAGTAAACCGCAGGAATCAGAATAGGGAATGGAGTGTTTGGAGGGAGATTGGGAACTGGAGGCGGGCAGACAAGGTTGCTGTTTCACTAGGGTGGTAGCACTGGCTCAGGGAAAGATGCAGGGCGAGCAAGGAAAGCAGGTGCAAAAGTTGAAACCTGTGGCTGGTGTTGTGCATGGAGTGGGGGAGTGACTGTCAGTGGGTAGGAATGGTGGTTGGTCCTATCACCTGGGACCTTAGTGTTACCTAGTTACAAGAGGAAGTCCTTGCAGAGGCCTGCTCTCCATCCTTGTGAGGGAACAGATGTGTTGCTCTGTGTAGGGAGGAGGTAGCTGAGTAGCTCTGAGACTTGGAGAAGAGGATGGACATGGAAGAGCTCCAGGGCAGGAGAGAATTGATCCTGGAGCACATGGATGAGGTGATGTACAGCACACACTTCATACCAATCAGACTGTGTCTTGAATCTAGCAAGTAGCTACGCATTTATTTGATTTGTTTTACATGTGACTTTTTTTTTTTTGGGCAGGAAATGTTTTCTTATTTGTCCAGCCAACTAGAGAAACTGTCGGAAGCCTACAATGAGAGACTGTTGCATACACCTCATAATCCCATATCTTTAGGTAATTTTAAAACTTTAGTACTTCTGATTCATTCCTAGGAGTAAGATGGTATTTGTAGAAAAAGAGGACGCCTTCTGAATTCATTACAGCATTAATTTGGAAATTGAAAAAGTTTATTTAACCTTTAGAAATGCTTACATGTATTTCTAAGATAAAAGCTATATGCTGAAAGAATCAAAATCAACATTAAATATTATAATGAATACATGGAAAACAGTAATTTAAGTCTTGCTTCTAGCCAGAATGTTAGTCACTAGTACAAAACTCTATATAAATAATTAAAGCTTTTCTCCAGTTAATAAACCTCTCCCTAAAATTTTTTAAATGGTGGTATTATTTCCTTTAGCCGCTGCATATTAGATAAATCTGTAATTGTGATCATTTCATTTGTTTGTGGACAGACTGTTTTTTTGTCATGTAGTATAAGGACTAATAAAAATGATGGAAACATTAATTTTTGTGCATTTAGCTTTTAATAAAACTGTATAATCATGTCTTTTAATTTGTGGATATCTTTAGAATGTTTTATATTCTGAGGAGAAAGTAAAGAGAGTGAATGATTTGTGAATGAAGCCCCTTTCAGGGATGGGCTTCTATGAAAACCTGTTTATTTCAACACTTAAATATAATAAAAAAGACTCCAGTCTTCTGCTGGGTAGTTTGATATCAGTTCTGCCATGCACTGGCCACTGGCCTTCTTTTCCCTGTCTCAGAAATAGAGATGATCCTGCACATGCAGCATTGTTGGAAGGTCAAGTGTAGCTTGGTGAGAGTGTGCTCCGTGACGGGAGCTGCAGCTTGTGGTGCTGTGTGCTGTCCCAGCACAGCCTCTGAGCAGGGGCTTCCATGCTCACAGGCAGAAGTGCCTCCTGCTCTTATGTAGGTACTGGGATATGTCTCACATTCTCATACTGCAAGTTCTTAAAACTTGGTTGACTTTTATTTAAGAGTCATACTGATTGTGTCATTACTGCATCTACTGTTTTTAGAAAATTTCACTGAGTATGTTAATTTATGTAAAAAATGTATGGTTCAGATCCCTGCTGTAGTTTATTAAGTGTGCTAAGTTGGTACTTTGTCACTCAACAGTGCGTAAGAAGTAATGTCTGTCTGTGTGTGCCTTTTGTGCAGTAAGCTCAGAGCTTGTTAGGATGCTTTTTGTCTTTTTCAGCTGTGACCCTTGGGACATTTGATGAACACTGTGACAAAGCTGTCACTCAGCTTGGCTCGATGCTTTTTACCAGACAGGTTTCTGGAGCCAGGTGAGTGTATTTAAACAGGATCTAGGTTCATTCAGTTTCTCGCAGTTAGCTCCAATACTTGTCGTCCGCTATAGATGTGTTGCATACCAGAGAGTCCATCGCGGGGACAGTGGTGAGCAGGAGTCTGTGAGCCTGTTAGGTGCTTAGCTGTGCCTAGTGTGGATCAGACACAGCAAACACCTGTTTGTATACATGTCCAGAGACACACTTCATTACCTGTCTGTCTAGGTTTGTCTTTATTTCCTTTCTTAGATACTTTCTTCAGTAGTTCAGATTATCATATTATATATAAAATCTGTAATACTAAATTCAAATGAAAGTTTAAGGAAAAGTGTATTTCCTAAACTAAAAATGCTGTGTGATCCTTGCCCAAATACTGCTTTAGAAAAGGGGGCAAATGTACTTTCCCCTATTATGTACCTTTGACCTGAAAATGAAACTATTTTTTGTTTTATCTATGAGGAGGTCACAGAAAAATAACTTGAAAAGAAATATCTTGCTGTGATAATTTTCTTTACATGCTTCTGTTAAAAAAGTTCATTCTGAATACCAGAGGTCAGAGATTTCACATCAAAGGATGGCTGTCAGAAAGGAAACTCTTAGATTAATTCAGCTTGTACCTTGATGAATGCTGTCCATGCATGGCCCAGTGTTGACACATCTAAAGTGGTTTTCTTGATCTTGTTGTGCTATTGCCACTCTCTGTCTTGTTTATGGGATGCTAACTGACATTAACAAAAAGAAGAGAAAGATTAAAAACCTTCTGGTGTCTAAGAATGCTAGTGAAGTCAAGCTTGAAAAATGCACATGCCGTTGTTGACTGGCCTTTACCCCACTGTGAGCAGTTATGTAATTTCTGCTGAATCTTTGCTTTCAATCCTTCTATTTCATAGCATTGCTCATTTGCACAGTTGGGATTTTAGTTTGTTGAATATTCGAAAGGCTCGACTTGCAGCAGTGAAGCAAAGGACTTTGGCTTATAGGTTTTAGTGTTCAGTTAAAGTATGGATATATGAAGTCAGAGACAAGATCTGCTCAAAAACAAATTTGAATTTGCATTTATCCCTCTGAAGAAGATGTGAAGGTGTTTGGGATTCATGGAGCTTACAGCTCTTCCAATGAAGATAAATAATGGTTCAGTTAAGACTACTGCATATCAAATAGCAGTGTTTTATATAAATTCACTCAAAGGCTGACCAGTCTCTTTGTAGAAGCCTGTAGTTTATGGCTGTTTCTAAAGTTTCTTAATGAGTAGATATTACACATATCATATAACATAGATCCCTTTGTTTATGAGAGACATTATGTTGATATTAATGGATACTTGGATAATCTTTTCCCTTTCAGGGTTGTGCCTCTTGGATCTGTGAAAACTGTGAGTGGCTATACTTTCAGAGGCTTTATGTCCCACACCAATAGTTACCATTGTGCTTACCTCAATGCGGCATCAGCCATTGGAATGACGACACAAGATGTGGACTTATTCATCAAGAGACTGGACAAGTGTTTAAAGACGCTAAGAAGAGAACAAAATCAAGAAGCTGATGGACCTGGAGTTGACAGTTGTGACAAAACTGAAGATGCAGACATTGAAATGATTTTTAAACTAGAAAATGCTTGACATATTCCAGGGTGTGTCTTCATGACATGCAAATGGCTTCTTTTGGATAATTAGCAAAAAGTAATGAGGCTGAGGACCACGCAAGCAGTTTGAGGACAACTCATGGGGTTTTTGGATTGAGAATTTCTTGGAGAATATTCCATCAAGGGACAGAATGTGTCCTAAGCCAGTCAGTGATGATTGTTAGAACCCCCTCAATCCTTAAGAGCCTTAACAGGTTAGAACAACAAACACTGTTTCTGATTGTTAGAATATTTGTCATTGAAGCATCATACTCACTTCTGACTAATTTAATGGCTTATAATTACTTCTGATTCTTTCTGAAGTGTAAGTTGCTAAACCCTGCAGCCAGTTCTTATTATTCACAAAATACTTAGGTTTCTGATCATAAAGAGTTTAGAAGGGTCTGTTGTGCTGATGAGTGGTTGTGTGTAGAGGTATGTGTCGCTTAAGTGTGCTGTAAAATGGACATTCCCCAAGGAAGAGGAGTTGAATTTAAACATCAGTTTTGATTCAGGAGCAGCGGTTCTCCACTGGGGATGATGTGCCGTATCTAAACAACATCTGGTGACATTTTTCATTGTCACAAATGGTGAGTGCTGTTAACATTTAGTGAGTAGAGGCCAGGAGAGCTGCGTAACATCCCGCCAATGCACAAGAAAACTTTGCACAGCTAAGTTTATTTGGGCTAAGACCTCAGGGAAGCAGAGGCTGAGAAAGACTGCACTAAAATCAGCTCCCCAAGTGGAAATTTTCCTCAGCAACTTGAGCTGCTCAATAGTAGAGCCCCAAGCTGTGTAGCTGCGTTTTCGTCACTGGTGGAGCTGGGTAAAACAGTGGCGCCATCGCGGTTTGTGCAGATATAGGCTCACGTTGCTTGCCAGACAATGGCATCAGCTCATGGTGCATGGCTCCGAGTGTATATCTATCATTAGATGACACATGACTGTACTTTATAAAAAAAGGACCAGGTAATTTCCTGTTACCAAGCTGTACTGTGTGGAGATACTTATGTGAAAATCAGGGGCACCAGTTCCAAACATGTCTTCTATAGCATGTATGCATTTTCTATTTGGGCAAGTTAACACTTTACTCCACTTAACACTTTCCACACGTAGCAAGCTGTGGACATCAGCTGCTTCGCTCAGGAGCTGTGCACATCTTTCCTCGGGATCAGCTAACATGCATATTTTAAATGCATTTTTGCTGTAGGGGTGAAAATGATGTAGTGAGATAAGTGGGTATTCCCTTCTCCCTGTCCAAGTACTCATTCTAAGTCTAGAGTTCTATATTTACTGGCCTTGACAGTTCGTTTTGATGTTGATTTAAAGAAATAGCTTGTGGTTCCAGCCTAAGGAGTAAGTGGAGCGTCTAAATTCTCTACCATGCCAAAGCCACGTCTGCACCAACCTGCTCGGGGACGATTGTTCAGGTAGATGCTCATGGGAGGGAGAAGTTTCTGAGGACAAGTAATTTTGCGAAATGTCCCTATAATCCTGCTGTGCACCGTGAGTATTCCTTCAATAAAGAAGCATCCATTTTTAAAAAAGAAGTACTGGTTAACATTTCAATTATCGCAAACATTACAGTAAGAATGCCATGCTGAGTTCTGTATCACATGTTTCTTGTTGATTTGCAGGTAAACTGTGTAGCAGAAAGGGTTTTAGTATTTGGGGGATGTTACCCATCATCTAAGACCACGTGTGAACATATTCGCAGCCAGATAACACTTCTTTCAATGTGTGTTAGAGCACTTTAGATTCTGGCTTGACCACCTCGTGTTGAGATTAAAGTACTTATAAATATCCTAAGAGTTACTTTAGAGTATATTCTATTATTGGGCTTCAAGCATTTAAAAATAAAATAGCTGGAACTCATTATGAAGGATGAGATCCTGGACTGAGTGTGCAATATGTTCCGTGGATTGGGGGAGCAGTGCAGAAGCAGGGGGCTGATGGCACAGCAAGTCTCCAGAGTCCAGGGAGCAGGTGAAGTGGTGCCGCAGGTGTGACTGCTGGTTGGGCCGCTGGCTGTCCATGGCTGCTAAAATTGATGAAGGGACAAGGGATCCATATTGTGTGATCATCACTCTGCGCCAGAAAGGCCAGAGCCCAGAGCCCAGCAAATGTTTTCTTGTCTGCTGTGTCTCAGCAGTTCTTGGGCTTCAGCTGCTGAATAGATAATAATTCTAATTGAAGATAAATTACATGAACCCACAAGTGAATGATAGATACAGCATTTCATTCCTGATGCATAAAGTCAGCTGCAGTTCTTATTATTAACCCCTTCTTTCTCAGTGGTCTTAGAGTTTCAGCTCTCTCCTTTCTGGCCTAAAGTTTGACCCCGAGGTCACAGACTTCCCCTGGTTCTGAAGGGACATTGGTAGGTCTGTTGGTGCAGGCTGTCCATTACCCTGTCCCTTGTACTGTGTCCCCTCCCTTTCCCACTTCCATAGGTCAATTACTAAGTGTGAACAGAAAATGATTTTTTTAAAAAGGATTTATTTATTTATTGGAAAGTCTGATATACAGAGAGGAGGAGAGGCAGAGAGGAAGATCTTCCGTCCAATGATTCACTCCCTAAGTGAGCACAATGGCCGATGCTATGCCGATCCGAAGCCAGGATCCAGGAACTTCTTCTGGGTATCCCACACGGGTGCAGGGTCCCAAGGCTTTGGGCCGTCCTCGACTGCTTTCCCGGGCCACAAGCAGGGAGCTGGATGAGAAATGGAGCTGCCGGAATTAGAACCGGCGCCCATATGGGATCCCAGGTGTTCAAGGCGAGGACTTAAGCTGCTAGGCCACGCCCCCGGGCCCAGAAAATGATTTATCGCAAACAGCATGGATTGCTGAACACTGGTTTTCCTTCACTGGGGTGGGGCTTGGGCAGGCAGCGGACCAACCATTTCCAGTCATGGCCTGTGATGACCTCTTCTGTCTTTATGTTGCAGCTTCCCTTCTTTTTTTTCCTATTGTAAGTATTTTTTTTTTAAGATTTATTTTTTATTTTTATTGGAAAGGCGGATATACAGAGAGGAGAGACAGAGAGGAAGATCTTCCATCCGATGATTCACTCCCCAAGTGAGCGCAACGGTTGATGCTATGCCGATCCGAAGCCAGGAGCCTCTTCCGGGTCTCCCACGCGGGTGCAGGGTTCCAAGGCTTTGGGCTGTCCTCGACTGCTTTCCCAGGCCACAGGCAGGGAGCTGGAAGGGAAGTGGGGCTGCCGGGATTAGAACCGGCGCCCATATGGGATCCTGGGCGTGCAAGACGAGGACCTTAACCACTGCACCACCGCGCCGGGCCCTATTGTAAGTATTTTTTTATTTTACTTCTTCTTCTTCCTCTTATTATTATTTTATGATGCAGTTCCATTGCCCTGGGAGACACTATGTGTCCTATATAACTAGGTTATTGGTGGTACTGATCTTGCTGGAACCTGTTGGCCATTAGGTCTGAGGGCCACATGGACCTATTTTGACCCCTGCTATGCCAAAGTCAGTATTATTTTCTCTGTGGAACTAATGCAATGCACTGAGCTCAATGCGTTCACTCCAAGCTCACTGCATGCACAGCTCACTATTGTCCCTGCAGTCTTAAAGCCTTTGTCACATCGTACGAAATGGTGCCTGATGTGCCACTACAAGAGTTCTTGATCTGCTGTCCATCAGGTCTGAGGGTTATCCGGACCTGTCTTAGGTGGAACCTGTAGGATGCCATATTGTTGCAGTTCACTGTGCCAGAAATGAGTCCACTCACAGCTCGGTGAAGGTGCAGTTCTGTCCCACAGCCATTGCCTCCTTAAACAAAATAGTACCTGATTCAGCTCTAGGGTGCAGACTAGGCTGTGAAATCTACCCTGCTCCTGCACCACCTGTCTGGGACCTGCTGCTCTTTCTGCTCCTGGTCAAATTAAACAGACCAGCAGGACAGGCAGTTCTTCGTGTGGATTTACCTCCTGAGCTCCTGGTGAACGCCCCTTCCCACCTTGTTGCTGGTGGAGTTCCAGCCGCTGCTGCAGTTCAGATCACCACTTACTGATTGCCGCTGGGGTTTCGGTCGCTGCAACACCACACCATTGTGTCTGCTGCTTTCCTGTGTCCTTCAGTCTCCAGTTGCCCTGCTGCTGCTGTTCTGTCCTCTCCTATTTCCTGGAATGTACCTTCTCTGCTTCACACTGGCTAATGTTTCTTTGTTAAAACATGTCCTTACCTGGGCCCGGCGCGGTGGTGCAGTGGTTAAGGTCCTCGCCTTGCACGCCCAGGATCCCATATGGGCGCCGGTTCTAATCCCGGCAGCCCCGCTTCCCTTCCAGCTCCCTGCCTGTGGCCCGGGAAAGCAGTCGAGGACGGCCCAGAGCCTTGGAACCCTGCACCCGTGTGCGATACCCAGAAGAAGTTCCTGGATCCTGGCTTCGGATTCGGGAGTGAATCATTGGACGGAAGATCTTCCTCTCTGCCTCTCCTCCTCTCTGTATATCTGCCTTTCCAATAAAAAAATAATAAAAATAAATCTTTAAAAAAAAAAACATGTCTTTACCCTATTCTGCCATCTTGATTCCCCTCCCAACTTTTAATGCTGTCAAGCAAAACTATGGAGTTTGGTTTTTAAGGCCATTACGTTGTAGTAGTCTGCCTCAAAAGAAAATTTTTTTGGTCACTACACAGTATGTGACTTATACATGATGTAGGAAAAGGTGTGTTAAATCAAACTCTTAATTTGGCTCTTAGGGCTTCTCCTGATGAGTTCTCACTCTGTGAGGTAATGATTTGTGGTACCAGCCTTGGGAACTCAGTGTTCGACTGTAAATCTTTCTATTTAGCTTTTGTATTAACTGAATGAAGTCATAGAATATGAATGTGAATTACTGAATACAGTTCTGTTTAGCCAATAGGCACTTGATATACAGAATGCTAAATTTCAGTATAAATTAGTGGGTTTTTTTTCTCACAGTTTGGCACAGCACATAATCCTGTAGTCCTGTATCTTTAGCCGCCTCATAATGAGAACTGTCATTTAGACCTGAGCCGTGGACTGTGCATTGCTTTTCACACTGTGGATGTGACTTCCGAAGGTTTTGGGACAACTTTGATGAAGGATAATGTTTTAATTGGTCATCTTATTTTAATGCTGAATAGGTAACTCATCTTGAGGGTTGAATTTTTTATGTCCTTTGGTGGAGGTAAATAGCCAGCAATTGAATAAAATAGCAACAAATCTATTAACTCATTCTTACCATGTTAAGAGAAATCTGGGGGAAAGACTTAACTTTTGGTGCCTGTGAAAGGTGTGGGTTATTCCCTTCCCCACCAAGGTTTACTAATTTGTACCATATCCTTCAGGGTAAGAATCAGTTGAATATACTGTTTTAAAAGTCCCTTTACACAGCTGGGCCCTTACTCATCA